AGCCGCGCGCTCGCCCGCCCCCGCATTGCATTGCCGACCCGCGTCGCCCGCCCGCCCATCCACCCACCCAGAGACTCCCACGACGAGTCGGCGCGCAGACGAAACGCAACAACGGGGCCCCCGCTTCGCCACTTGAAGCCGCTGCGCCGTGAACAACAGAGAAGGCGCAGTGCGGCGGCTTCCACGTGAGGATCTCGTTCTCCATGCACGAGTTGAAGAAGCCATCGCCCTTGTCCAAGAGCGCCCTGTCGACCACCTGCTTGGACACGAACTGCGCGAACACGTCCTGCTTGCGCATGTCCCCGCCGATGGGGAAATTGTGGGGGAGTCCTGCAGCTGGGGCGCGCGCCCAAGGCTCTGGCCTCGCCGTCGTCGTCGTCGTCGTCGCCGCCTCCGCTGCCGTCGTCGTCGTCCTCGGCGTCGTCGTCGTCGTCGCCATCGTCGGCGTCGTCGTCGTCGGCGTCGCCATCGTCGCGAATGTCGTCGCCCCCGTCACATTCGTCGTTGCCGTCGCCGACGTCCTCGTCATCGTCGTCACCCTCGTGATCCTCGTCGTCTTCGCCATCATCATCATCATCATCGTCGTCCTCGCCATGGTCCTCGTCATCACCGTCGTCATCTTTCCCGTCCTCGTCAGCGCCGTCCTCCTCGTCACCATCGTCGCCGTCGCCCTCGTCATCGTCGCCGCCACCGTCGTCATCGTCGTCGCCATCGCCGTCGTCATCGCCACCGCCAACGTTCACCACCCTGCTCCAGGGCTCTGGCCTCGAAGTCGTCTCCGTCGCCGTCGTCGCGATCGTCGTCGTCATCGTCGTCGCCGTCGCCGTCGGCGTCGCCGTCGTCGCCGCCGTCGCCGTCGTCGTCGGGGATCAGACCCCCGCCTCATCAACATCCCCTGCCCCCGCCCGACCCCGCCCCAGAAACGCTTGCCCTGGCAGATCCCCGCCCCGCCCCCATACGGCGTCCTGTGAGATACACGCTGCAGCAGGACATCTGCTTGGTGCTCTTGCGGCACATGACCTGCACCACTGCAGAGGGGATGCCTTTCTTGGTGATTTTGCCGTAGAGGGCGAACATCCAGGGAGGGGGGACATCGGCGAGGGTGTTGATGTGCTCTGGCCAGAGCGGGTCCTCGGACAGTGATTTGGCTACCTTCTCGTCTTTTTTGGCGCCGCTGAGGCGCCGCCCGTGTTTGGCCTCTATGTCCTGGATGGGTTTGGCCGCCATGATCCTGATCAGCTCGATCTTGTCGGATTCCTGGGCCCGCGCCAGGCGAGCAGGGGGGAGGGGAGGCAGGCGCGCGCGGGCGGGATGATGAATCGGGGAATATGGGGATCGGGACGACTGGAGCATGACACAGTGGGCAGTACTGGGCAGAGAGGGGCTGCGCAAGGAGGCATGGAGTACGGAATAGGAAGTGGGGAAGTTGGGGGTATCTAATACGGCATGGACGCCGCAAGTAGGAAAGAAGGGGGCGGTGTGGAGTAGGGTAGGTAGCGGGAACGTCCTCGTCATCGTCGTCGTCGTCGTCGTCGTCGTCGCCGCCGCAGCCGTTGCCGTTGCCGTCGCCGTCGCCGTCGCCGTCGCCGTCGCCGCCGTCGCCGTCGCCGTCGCCGCCGCGGTCGCGATCGCCGTCGCCGTCGCCGTCGACGTCGCCGCCGCCGTCGCCGCCGTCGCCGTCGCCGTCGCCGTCGCCGTCGCCGTCGTCGTCGTCGCCGTCGTCGTCATCGCCGCCATCATCGTCGTCATCGTCGTCATCGTAGCCGTCATCATCGCCATCATCGCCATCGCCAGCATCGTCGTCGTCATCGCCGCCATCAACGTCGGCATCATCGCCATCGTCACCATTATCGTCACCATTCTCGTCGACGTTCTCGTCGCCATTCCTCACGTAATGGCGACGGTGATGGTGACAGCAACGGCGACGATGGCGATGATGTCGGCGATGGTGGTACCGACGACGACGATGATGCTGACGATGGCGACGGTGGCGATGATGACGACGATGATGACGACGATGACGACGATGATGCTGGCGACGATGACGACTGCGACGGCGACGGCGACGGCGACGACGGCGACTGCGACGGCGACGGCGACGGCAGCGACGGCGACGGCGACGGCGACGGCGACGGCGACCTCGGCGGCGGCGGCGGCGGCGGCGGCGGCGGCGGCGGCGACGGCGACGGCGACGACGGCAACAGCGACGACGACGGCGGCCAGCTCCCATCGCTCCTGCCCCTGCCCCGTGCATTGCCGCCATCGTCGCCATCAACGCCATCGTCGCCATCGTCGTCGCCATCGTCGCCATCGTCGTCGCCGTCATCGCCATCGTCGGCATCGCCAGCACCATCGTCGAAATCATCGTCATCATCGTCGTAATCGTCGCCGTCATATCATCGCCATCGCCAGCATCGTCGCAACCGTCGCCGCCATCATCGTCGACCTCGTCGCCATCGTCACCATTATCGTCGCCAGTATCGTCCCATTCTCGTCACCATTATGGCCATCATCGTCGACCTCATCAACATCGCATCCATCATTGTCACCATCATCCCCCCATCGTCGTCATCATCGCCATCATCGCCATCGCCGCCATTGTCGTCACCAACGGTGACGATAATGGCGGCGAGCGGTCCTTGAGGAGCATTTTGACTACGTCTTTGATGGCTTCGTGTTGTTTTCTTTGAACCTGGATCGACGCCGCCATCTCGTCGATGGGCGGCGCCTGGGAGGGGCGGGGGGGGCTCGCGAGGCAGGGGGGGGGGGGGGGGGGGCGGGGCGCGGGGGTGAGGAGGGGGTTCCTCGCTCCAAATCGTAAATCATCCTCCTCTCCCCCTCCGCTCACTCCCCCCTCGCCCTCCCCCCATCACCCCGCCCAAGCAGCGCCCTCTACGGAGAGGGCGCCTTGTCCTGTAGGACAAGGCAAAGGGCCCGCATCTCCGGCGACACCTTGGCCTGCTTCGCGCCCGCCACCACTGCGGCGCGAGGGAGAGGCGAGGGGCGGGCGGCGCCCGCCCACGCTGGGCGGCGGCCCGAGGGCCAGGGAGAGGCGATGACGATGAGATGACGACTGCGACGACGATGATGACGGAAGAAGGGGGCGGGATGAAACGAGAGGAAGCCCTCTAGGGGGGAAAGCCATGCTTCTTCCCCATCCTCCCTCCTCGCTCTTCCCATCCTGCCTTCCTCCCCCCAACCCTTCCCTACCGTCAACCCCTCCCGTCATTCGCCCCTCCCCCATCCCTCCCCTCGCCCCCATCATTCGCTCTCCCCCTCCCTCCCCCCTTCATCCTTCCCCTCGCGCCTTCCCCCCCCTACCCTACATAACAAAAAAAAATCCCCAGGGCAAATTCCCCCCACCCCAGGGCAGGATCGGGGGTGGGGGTCTGTTTTCGGGTTATGATTCATTGTGACCTTGGGCTCGTCGGTATCCACGTGGACCTCTCGAATCGCGAAGATGCCGTTCGTGATGCCCGACCGGCGGTGGCACGCTGCTTCCTGCCAGGCCATCTGTCCGCGCCACCGAGGGATAACACGCGCAATCCAACTGGCGAAGGAAATGAGAGCCGACAGGGGTGGATGGGGCGCCTACAGCATTGTGCACATGACGTCGAAGCTGCTAGATATACCACTCGGGGGCGCAGCTGTTGGCTCGATGGCCTGCTCGACGATCCGCGCTGCGCCAGCGCGGCGCCATGGCAGAAACGCTTGGCCAGATCGCGACCAAGCTAGTGCTCCAGCCGAAGAGAAAGGCCCCTGCTCCCTGAATTCCAACCGTTCTGACGGTCGGAGAAGAACTTGTGATCAGGGAAGTGCTCGCGCAGCATGTCGATGAATGTGTTGCCTGTGACCTCCATCTTTGGGCCCTTGTCGGGACCGATGTGGCGTTGCGTGGAACCGCCCGTGGCTGCAAAGGCGGGGGGTCGAATCCATTGACCTTTGCTGGGGAGGCGCAGAGGAAAAGAGGCTTCCTGTGCCTTCTTGCCAGCAGTACCACGCGCACCTGTGAACTGGACGGGGAATATCTTGTCCATGTCCTCGCCGCCGCTTGCGAAGCCATCAACATCGCGCTTGGAAGACATCGAGTCCACCCGTGGCGGCGGGGGAGCTCGTCTGGCCATCGCGAACTCCCTGCGCCTCTCATCCATTGGAGCACGCATGTCGTCACTCTGTCACGAAGAAGGTCGGTCGTCTTGTTGTCCATAGTGCCAACTCTCGCAGGGATGGTGTCCATCTGGGCTTGGAGACGGCGCTCGAAGGAGTCGATGTCAGGTCTGGTAGATTTAACCGCATCCTTCCTGCATGAGTCAGGACAACTTGTTGGAGGGCGGCTTCCACGGCTTTGACCGCAACAGAGGCAAGTGAAATTGCACTGTCAGAGCTGCCTTGGCGCGCCATGCCATGAGTTCGCCCAGCTCGACTTGGAGTTCCTTGAACTTGGAAGAGAGCCTCTTATCGATGGTTCCAATGATGTACAGGTCCCAAACATTCGGGTTTCTACCATGATCACTGTCTTCGGAGGCGGAACGATCAAACCTGGAGCGGTCGTCATCACGTCCACGTGAACCACCTTGGGAAAGTACACGACCAGGACAGAGAGAACCAGGACCACCAAGAATGCCTTTGCTGGCCTTGGCTGCCTTCTTGCGCTTGGCGAGCGCATCGGGCATGCGGCTGGCGGCAAATAGGGCGGCACGAACTGGATATGCATCAATTTACCCACCACCCCGTTTGCCGAGATGGAAGGAAAGTCTTGCTCCGCCAGGGGCCAACCAAGAGCCGAAGTCAACCCGTGGATCAGCGATGTCCGCTTCACCCCGAGGAAAGCGGGCGTCGTAAGCCAAAAGGCCGCAGAAGGAAAAGAGGAGGACGAAGAGGAGGGATGGAGGAGGAGAGTCGACAGCGGAGCGTGGTCGTGGTCGAGGAGGAGGAGAAGCAGGAGGAGGAGGAGAAGGAGGAGGAGAGTGGCCGACGACGAGGAGGACGGGGAGCAGTAGCAGCGGGCCAAGCCTTCGGCCCCCACGCGCTGGAACACGTCGGACCGCTGCTCGCACTGGCGCGCCAACGCGCGCTGGAACGGCTCCGGGACGCTGGCCAGGGCTGCTGCGGGGAGGGGGGGGGAGACAGAGAGGGCAGCGCGAGGAGGGAGAAGGGCCCACACCACCTCTCGTCGTGAAGCAAATCGCGGCTGTTCTTTGGGGGGCTGCCTGCTTCTGGGAGCCTCTGTGGAGTCTTGGGGCTGTCAAACGACGACTCGGGAGCGGCCAAGAGGGGGGTGTCCAAGAGGGGGGGTGCAAATCATGTCTGGCGGCATGTGCGCGGCCCAGCGGGGGGGCCGGGGACGTAATGAAATAAGAAGAGGCGCCATAACATCCGAGGAAATATCATGGCCCCCGCCATGATATCCACCCCCCTAGTCATCACCCCCTCTTTGCCGCCCCCGAGCGTCGCAGGAGTCGAAGCCAGTCCCGGGGAAGGGGTCGGGACCACGCCGTAACGAATCACGACATCGGAGGTCTGGGGAGGTCTGAAGGAGCGAGAGAAAGGGGGCGGGGCTGCCGGAGGGACGGGGCGGCGGACGCTTCCCGGGGAAGGGGGGGGGGAAGGGCTGGGGGAAGAGAGAACAGGGGCAGTAACGCGTGGATTTTTGGGGTAGCATGTGCGGTGGAGGAGGAGGAGGAGGAGGAGGAGGAGGAGGAGGAGGAGGAGGAGGAGGAGGATGGCTCAGGAGGAGGAGGAGGAGGAGGAGGAGGAGGAGGAGGAGGAGGAGCAGGAGGAGGAGGAAGAGGAGGAGGAGAAGGAGGGCTCCAGAGGAGGAGGTGCTGATCGCTTAACTGCTCCATGCGCACCACAGGCGAGTCATGCGGAACAGATGTGCATCGAAATCTTGCGTGAGCCACGGAAAAGCATGATTCAGATTCGTACGGCTTTCCGCATCCCCCTGCTCCTCCCCTCTCCTCTACCCCCTCCTTACACGCGGCCAATCATTCGTCCGACTCTGAACCATTTTACACATGTTTGACTCCTCCTATGCGTAGCACGCTCTCTCCTGCAACCTCCCTCTCGTCCTCGTCCCGGTCGAGGAGGCAATGCAATTGCTGCCACTATCGGGTCGGGCGAAAGGGGGGGATAGCAAAGGGGGGGTTTGAGAATCAACTCACGTAGCTGATTTTCCCGGCGCCTCGCGGCGCTGGCGGCGCCCATGTATCGAGGAATGGGCCCCTCGGTGAGGCCGAAACCAGCTGCATGCAGCAGATTTCGTACCCCCCCCTTCCTCAATCCCCCCCTTTCGTCCGGCCCGACACTAGGAACGCCAAACAGGCAACGAAGGGCTTCAATGCCCACGGCGAACCTCGGAGACGAATCGGTTCCCCGACCCAGATCCACGGAACAGCACGAGCCCCTCCTGAGCCCCTCCTGAGCCCCAAGTGGTGCGCCGTTCTGCGTGTTGGCCGTCTGCCCCATCCTCACACAGTAGATAGGCGGCGAGCGAGGGGGGGAAGTCAGAAGGGGCGGGCCTTCTCAGAAGTTTCGGAAGTCCCCTGGCCTTCTGAGGGGTTTTCCAAGCCTTCCCCGAAGACAGAAAACACTTCTCAGAAGGCGCGAGGGCTTCTGAGAAGTCCCGCCGCCTTCCGAGAAGGCCTTCTCCTTCTCGCTTCCCCCCCTCGCTCGCCGCTGAGTAGAACAAAGGAGCAGGCGTCTCCTGGAGCGCCCGTCAAGGACCTCAGCAGCGCGCGCCTGTCCAGCGCGTCCCTGCCATGGGGGTCGGGGCGGGGAGCCGCCCTCTCGCTGAGGGGGGAGGGAGGGCGAAGAGGGTGACCGAAGCAAGCGGGTGAGGAGGACGGCGCAGCCGACGTGCTACCATGAGGAACGCCGAATCAAGAACGAAGGGGCTTCCTGGGCCAAGGTGAGCTTCGGCTTCGAATCTGTTCCCCGACGTAGATCTAAGGAGCGGCCCGAAGGCCACAGCCCTTCCCGAGCCCAGCGTGGTCCTTATTTCATCGTCTCGGCTGTACTTCGTCGAGGAGGAGGAGGAGAAACCCAGAAAACGAACCAATGTCGGGCACATTGTCTGCACGAGTCATGGCCGGGAGAAGGAGGAGGACGACGGGGATGATTCCTTCAATTGATGGACTTCAAGAAAGATGGGGTCAAGAAACTCGTGCCCCTGCCTCCAAGTACACGGCCGCGAATATGGTGTGCCTCCTAAAGCACGCTTGGTACTCTCCGAAAGTGTTCAAGGCTTGCAATACGGCCCATGGAGGCACCCAAGACGGCCCCAAGATGGCCCCAGAGACCTCCAAGACGGCCCTATGCGCCCAAAGAGGGCCCCACGACAGCCCAGAAATGCCCCCAAGACGGCCTCCAAACGCTGAGAGACGCCTTAGAGATATCCAGACGTCTCCAAAAGAACTCGGGAGGCCTCCAAGAGGCCCCTCAGAGGCCTCCATAGAGGTCCCAGACGCACCTGGCCCCCAAGAGGCTTCTTTGTCTTATTCCTCCTCCTCCTCCTCCTCCTCCTCCTCCTCCTCCGCATCCTCCTTCCTCTACTCCTCCCCCTCGTCCTTCTCCTTCTCCTCCGTCGGTCTCGTCCTCGTCCTCGTCCACCTCTTCCTCCTCATCGTCCTCATCCTCGTCCAACTGTCTTCCTCCCCCATTTGTCACCCCAAGGGTTTCCACAACGGCTCGGGAAGGCACAATCCAATAGCTTGGCCAAGCGTTGGCATACCTATTGGCAACATCGGCATTTCCAGAAAAACAGGGGGGAAGGGGGGAAGGGTGCGATTCGCAGTAGCCGATATGTGATGACGAAACATGCCGGATAATGAGATGGGGTGCCGCTAGGACGAGAAGGACATACAGGAGGAGACGGAGGAGGACGACGCGAGAGGAGAAGAGAAATGAAGAGGATGAGGAGGCGGAGGACGAGTAGGGGGACAGGGACGAGGATGATAGGATCGAGGATCGACGATGACAGAAGAGGCTTCGTCCTCGTGCCTCGTCCTTGTCACCGTCGTCCTTGGCATCCTCGTCTTGTGGTCTTGTGGTGTCGTCCTCGTCCGCCTCGCTCTCTCCGCTGCTGACCCCGCTCGTCCTCGTCGTTGTTATCTTCGCCCCCGTCCTCCTTGTCGTCCTGCCTTCGTTGGCTGGCGCCTCGCCCCCGTCATCCAGTCTCGCTCTCCAACCCTTCCGATCTCCCAGTCTCTCTGTCTCTCTCTCTCTCTCCTCCTCTCTCTCTCTCTCTTTTTCCCGTCTCTCTCTCTCTCTCTGGCTCTCTCTCGCTCTCTCTCTTTCTTGTCCTTTCTGCGTATATATATATATATGTATACACACGTGTGTGCATGTATAGATACAATCTACCTGTCCGTCCCTTCCCGGGGACCCCGCACCAGTAGTTGACCAGCGCCACCGCGAGCACGTCCCAGCAAGGCTCGTCTGGGCCTCGGGCGACCGAGGATGCAGGATCGAGAGCCGGCAGGCGGCAGAAGGCCCTCAAGGAAGACGTGAACATAGCAGGGACTGGCGCTCCCTCTGCTCTACCGCGAGGCCGATCGACACTAGTGCCGATTGCTCGGCGCCACGGTGCCCCAGGAGACACAAGCACGGGACGGGATGAACCAGGCCGTCTGCCACTGCCGCCCAAACACTACGAGACGATGCTACGTTCTGGCTCGGGAAGAGAAGCGAACGACGAGGCGAAGGTGGCGACGCAGATGGCGATACACGACACATCTCAACACGACTTCCATCCCAACGCTCCAAAAGCCTTCGGTGAAATCCTTCCACCCGTCGAAACCATGCTTCTGACTCCATTATCGCCCCACGATGTCCCTACATTGAACAATATCAACATGAGGACGAATGACACACGACCGAATGCCATGGGCTGAACGCATGGACAATCACGCAGGTCGAAACCCGATACGAGATGTCGTGGAACATCCAAATACACCGAAGCTACAAACAAGTATTGCGCAATTCCACCACGCATCCTTGTTTCGGATACAGGTGCGCTTGCCCCAAAGCACACCTGGAGATCAAAGATGAACGCACGAGTCGGCAAAAGGCTCGCCCAAAGCCCAAAAGCCACTGCCCCTGGTAAAGAGGGCTGAACACGCATAAGACAACCGCCGCCGCCGGCGTCTTGAGAGTCATCTGGCTTTCGGGTCGTCCACCTTCGAACGCGACTCATCCCTGTGCACGCCCACGCTGTTGCCAAGCTCGCCCCTGGAACCCGCGCTCGCACGAGCAACGCGAACACGTGGCCCGCAAACGGCGGAAGCGTGGCTTCCAGGCCTCTCCCCAGAAATTGCTGTAAACGCTCCGGGCACTGCCAAGGCCAGCGGTTGCCGGTGGACAAACCTCCCTTTTGTAAACCTCCCCTCAATGAAAACGGCCTGGGACCGAAACCGACGGGCCTGGAGCCGCAAAAATGACGGCCGCGACGCCCTCTCGCGAACCGAAGACGGCCAATTCCTTAATCGACGTGTCAGGGTAGGAGGTCTATGCACCTCCGAAGCGGACGCCCAGGTCCAGGGTGCTGTCGGTGTCTGCGCTGGCATCGGCCGAGCCTGGGGGCGAGACCCACGGGCCGCGCGCTCGACGATACCTTCGCCTGCGGCCCCGGCGTGGGCCCCCTGCCTGGCCCGGCCCAGGGCAGGCAGCCTGGGCGCAGGTGCCGCCGGCGCGAAGCTTCTGCAGCAGTCCCGAGGCCGCTGAGAGGTGGCTGACCAGCGGAGGCTCTGCGTGCTGCCCCCGACGTCTGGCGTCTGTATTTTTTCCCAACCATCCTGTGGTGTTGGGTCCTCGTTTTGAAGAGACGCTGCCCGCGTTCCTGCCTTTCTTCCTCCCTCCTCCCCTTCTTCCTTCCTCCCACCCCTGCCTCTGCCCTGCGCATGTCCTCGTCATCGTCATCATCACCATCATCCGCATCATCATCATCGTCATCGCCATGTCATCGTCATCATCATCATCGACGTCATGCTCACCACCATTATCGTCACCATCATCGCCACACCCCTTACACGTTTCGTGGCCCCACAGAAAGCCCCATCGACGGCCTCAATGGCGGTGTTCGCATGCGTCTCCCTCACCCACCACATCGCTTCGCGGCCCCATAGGGAGATCCGCCTAAGGCCCTAGTGGCGGTGTTCGCATGCGTTTCCCCCATCCAACACAACGTTTCGATTGGCCCATAAGGAACTCCACTGAATGCCCCAATGGCGGTGTTCGCATACGTCTCCCCCAACCAGTACGGCGCTTCGTGGCCCCACAGGGAGCCCCACCTAAAGCCCCAGTGGCCGTGTTCGCATGCGTCTCCCCCACCCAGGACATCGCTTCGTGGCCCCACAGGGAGCTCCACCTAAGGTCCCAATGGCGGTGTTCGCATGCGTCTCCTTCGCCCAGTACAACGTTTCGCGTCCCCACAGGGAGCCCCACCTAAGGCCTTATTGGCGGTGTTCGCATGCGCTTCCCCCACCCAGGACAATGTTTCGTGGCCCCACTGGGAGCTCCACCTACGGCCCCAATGGCGGTGCTCGTATGCGTGTTCCCCACCCAAGACAGCGTTTCGTGGCCCCACGTCGAGCTCCACCGAAGGCCCCAGTGGTAGTGTTCGCATGCGTCTCCCCCAACCAGGACAGCGTTTCGTGGCCCCACATTGAGCTCCACCTGAGGCCTCGGTAGCGGTGTTCGTATGCGTGTTCCTCACCCAAGACAGCGTGGCCCGTGTGGCGGTGTTCGCATGCGTCTCCCCCACCCAAGACAACGTTTCGCGGCCCCACAGGGAGCTTCACCTATGGCCCCAGTCGCGGTGTTCGCATGCGTCTCCCCCACCCATGACAATGTTTCGTGGCCCTTAAGGCCCCAATGGCGGTGTTCGCGTGCGTTTCCCCCTGCGGCCCCAAGGCTCCACCGAAGGTCCCACTGGCGGTGTTCGCAAGCGTCTCCCCCACCCATGACAATGTTTCGCGGCCCCGCATCGAGCTCCACCGAAGGCCATTGTGGCCTGATTGGCACGCGTCTCCCCCAACCAAGACAGCGTTTCGAGGCCCCACAGGGAGCTCCACCTAAGGCCCTCTGTGGCGGTGTTGGCATGCGTCTCCCCCGCCCGAAACAGCGTTTCGTCGCCCACAGGGAACTCCACTTGAGGCCCCGGTGGCGGTGTTTTCATGCGTCTCCCCCACCCAGGGCAATATTTCGCGGCCCCACAAGGAACTCCACCTGGGTGGAGCGACTTGCGGAGCTGCGGAGCCCTGCATGGCGCACTGCAAAGCAGGCACCGCCTCGTGGCCCACAAAGGGAGACACCCTCACACATTTCGCGCCCCCCCATAAGAAACCCAACCGAAGATTATACACGCGATCGCGGTACCTACATCTGAATATGGCAAGGTCCTTCGCCAGGCCAATTGTTTTCCCATCCGCGGTCCACGCCGGCACCGGCTCTTCCCCCGTGGGTAATTTTTCGCCCTGGATCCAGTTTGATGGTTTCGGGCCCGAAAGTGGCCCGAGGATGCCGACGCCAAGAAAAACAGCAATACCGAACAACAACTATCCGCCCGAAGTCTGGGCTGGGGGCAGGGGTCCGTCACCGGCGCTCTTGAGGCACGGCAGAATGCCGAGTGCTGCCCGACAATGAGCCTGTAATTCTGGTTGACCCAAAAGGGGGTCCAGCTGAAGGGGGGTGGTGCAATAGGTTTGGGGCAATTGCATTGCAAATGTATTGCGCCAGAGAATAGTATTGCATTGTATTGCAACTAACGTATTGCACGCGAAAACCCAGCAATACATTTGCGCCCCAGAATGTATTGTACGCCCCCATTGTATTGCAACCCCACAAATCTACTGCACCATATCTATTGCACCACCCCCTTGTCGCTGGACCCCCTTTTGGACCAACCCGAGAAATCTTCTCAGCCCCCTCCCCCTCTCGTGGGTACTCCAGCCACCGTATTTTGTCATCCGCCGTGCACGGCCGCCTCTGCGCCCCTCCACGTGGCAAGGGCGAAGCATGCAGAAGGCTTCCTCAAAACTTCTGCGAAGATGCTTGAGGGCCTCTGCGGGATCGAAGGCAACCCCGAGGAACCTTGAGGGATATGGAGGAGCCCAGAGAGAACTTGAGCAATCCCGGAAATTCTTGCAGAATCTGCGCGGGTCTTCAGAAAGCTTCAGGAATCCTCGCGAAACCTGACGAAAGAAAATGGAATCTGGAAGGGCCCAGAAAAATCATGACCCCCCCCCCCCCCGAAAAATCCAAAAACAATCCGGAAAAATCTGGACGACTCCCAAAGAATCTTGAGAACCGTGTTGGAGAGCAGTGAGGAAATTGACCAATCTTCGGAACCCAGAAGAACCCTGATGAAGTCCAGGGAAACCCGATGAATGCAAACAGATCCTCCGGAATTCGAGAACATCCGGGGGGTCCCCAGAATCCCAAGGAATCCAATGACATCCGGAACAACCCTGAAGTCTCCTACTACAAATAATAATTCGAATCGAAATTATATAATTGGCGTTATGATTAGCACTGATAATCAAACTAAGATTTTAAGCGGCACGATCGCCCAAGTGTGCATCAAACCGGCCGAACTAAAACATGTTCCACGCGCTGAAACGTATGCCGCCCACGTATGCTGCAACGCATGCCTCTGCAACCGAAGATGAAACTGCACGTTGCATGAGTTAGGTGACGCAGCGCACGGAAACACCCAATCATCGAAGTCCTGTATCACGTGCAGAGCTGAAACATGACGTCTTTGCCCTCGGGGTATCATGCGGAAACTCCACTGCCGCGAGTCCACAAGATTGGCGCGAAGGAATGCCTGGCTGTTGCCCCGAAGTTTCCCCGAACCCCTGGCCCACAACCCAGAAACCGTAGCGGGATGGGCCGACAGCCACTGGATATTTGACAGTGTGGGAGCCCGCGCAAAGCCTTCTCCTCGTCCTCCTCATGCTCCCTGCTCCTCCCTCTCTCCCCCCCCCTCCTCCTCCTCCTCCTCCTCCTCCTCCTTCGACTCCTCCTCCTCCTTCGACTCCTCCTCCTCCTCCTCCTCCTCCTCCTCCTGCACCTCCCCTCCTCCTCCTCCTCTTCCTTTTCCTCCTTCTCCTCCTTCTGTCCTCCTTCTCCCCTCCTTTCCGCATTCTCTCTCCTTCTCAAAATCAATGCCTTCCCTCCTGCTTTCCTCCAAGTACTCCTTCCGCCGACTGGGCGCGTGTGGCGCCATTGCAGAATCCATCACTCAAGTGGTCACCCGAACGGGCTGCACTTGCAAGTCTTGTGGAGTTGGCGGGTGTGACATAAGCCAATAGAATCCACGTCCGGAAGTAACGTGTTGCCGGAGGTAGGTCCGCGGATGTTGTAATGCAACGTATCCTATGTATCCAATGGTTGCACACATGCTATCTATGGCATTGCTTTGCAATGCTATGTCTCCCCCCTCT